TGAGTTGGGTGGTTGTCAAAATCATGGTCCCTTTTGGATCCCTATTATAATACGGCACCTAAGTTAGGGTATCCAAAAAGGGGCCATAATTTTGACAACCACCCATATATATATATATATAAATATGTATGTGTCCCTGTTCTGGTAAATTAGCTTACGTTCAAACCTTAAACCCTAAACCAGCTGTGAAACCCGATCCAACAGATGCCTCGAGAATCCCTATACAATCTCAAAAGGTTAAGGTTTAGGATTTAGGGTTTAGGGTTTAAGGTCTAGGGTTTAGGGTTTAAGGTTTAGGGTTTAAGCAATAACGCAAGCCCCAGACCCTGAACCCAACTGCCAACGTGTGATATACTGGCGGCAGTCTCAGGCAATCAGCTTACTGGTGGGTCAGGGTAATGTTCGGCTGTCATCGCACTGGTGGGACAGGGTTCATGGTTTAGGGCAGTTTAAGGGAAAAGGCGTGTGCAAGCTGTAGGGATCTATTCATATATCCATTTCCTACTTGGCACCAGCAAGCCATGAGGGTCTGGCATCTAGCATGCCTGGTCATGAATAGCCTGAAGCCCCATCCTGGCAACTCTGGGTCAGTCGTCATGTAAGCTATGGATGTAAACCCTAAACCCAAAATCCTAAACCCAAAAAACAAAAGTCATATGAGCCATTGTCGTCTAAACTCCTAGTATCCCCCTTAATGACCCCAATAGAGTAGTCCCCTATATAATCCCCATAGTGTTCCCCCTGTAAGGAGTTTAGACTATAGCTCATGTTATTGCTTGCGAAGCGCAGGAAGGGGAAAGCCTAAACCCTAAACCCTATAGTCCCTCAACCCCAAAAACCAGAAAACCCTAAACCCTAAACCCTAAAGCCTAAACCCTAAACCGTGTCTGCTATTGAGGCGCAGGAAGGGGAAAGCCTTCTTGGCGTCAAAGTTGACATCCATCCAGGCGCTGGTCACCGCGACGAGGGTGGAGACCATGGACAGCACAACCTGGGGTGGCTAGGGATCGTTTGGTTTAGGGGTTTAGGGGTTTGGGTTGCTGTTAAGGAACTAAGATACCATATGATAGTAAGTAAGCTGGTTTTCATGTTATAGTGACTTAATCTAAGTACCTTAACAGCAACTCAGCTTAGGGGAGTTTTGAGTTTCCGCTTTTACAGGGTCAGGGTTTGAGGTTTTACGGGTTGGATGCTAAGGTTCAGGGATTAGGGTTGCTACATGAAACTGTGTTCGGGACTGACCGAGATTTATGGCGATTATTCGGGTTGCCTGACGGATTGGACGGGCATCGTCTGGAGAAACTCTCCCCTGACGAAAGACCCTGCGAGCAAGTACATCCAAGTTTGGATTTTGGGGTTGTTTGGGATTTGAGGGAGCCGGTCTGCAAAACAATAGCTTTCCAGTTCAATTCATCTTCTTTCCTGGGTCATCTTCCATACGAAGGCAAGTTGTAGGTATTTATCCTCTTTCAGACCATCTAAAAACCTTGACAAAGACTAGTCCTTATCCCAGAAGCAACCCTCAAAACAAGCACTTCGCTTAAATGAACCATATGCCTGAACAAAGGTGTAGGATTTGGGGGTTCCAATTGTAAAGAGCTCGCATTAATGCCCCCACACCTGCAGACGAGAATTTCCTCACTCCAAAATGCTGCGCAGCACTTGTCTAGCACGACTGAAGACCCTAAACCCTAAACCCTAAACGAAGTCACAATACCCTTGTAGCACTTTGGGCTAGAAAGTACCGGTGCCATCTTTTGGAGACCGCCTAAAACCCGGGGGATAAAACAAATTAAATTCCTACCCTGGGCCCTCATGCCTACAACTATATATCATATTGGGGCTGGGGTTTAGGGTTTAGGGGGCTATATAGGGATAATGAAAAGAAAATGGAACCTACCATTTAGGGGTATATAGGGATATTATGGTCTGCGCGTTCAATGAACTTTACGCTATTTGGGCGCTTGGGCCAGCCTAATCTAGTTGCCAAACAGCAACGCCTCCAACTGCCATGAGATTGGCGAGGATGGCAAACCTGAAATGTTTGGGTTACTTCAACGCCACGAGATTGCATACTGGCTCCACGCACCACTAGTCATACTAATAGGGGTAATATACAAGGCTTTATAACATCACAAAACAATCTGTATCCAGTTGTCCAACTGTGAGTAGCCGGGGGGCCGTACTCAAAAAGATTCTCAAACTCCGGAATCTTGTTTTGACAAGCATGCAACAGATTCTACACCCTGAACCCTAAACCGTACTATTCGAGGGCTGGGCGCCCTATAGGTGCACCTAACGTGGAGGCAACCCACCGAATTCGGCGAGGCTGGTCCAGCCTCAGGGCATTTGGAATATTCTACCCTAAGGTTTAGGGTTTAGGGTTTGGGGTTTGGGGTGCCCTGAACCCTACAGAGTAGTTTCCGCTTTCCTTTCCATTATCCCTATAAAGCCCCTATATGCCTATAGAGGGGGAGGGGGTTAATAAAAGCCGCTCCCCCCAACCGGGTGGGCGGCCCAGTCAAGCCCCTCTGTCAACTTCAAAGGCGCTTTGATACCTTTAAAGGGGGATATAGGGGTTATATAGGGGTTAGTTAGGGATATATAGGGTTTACGGTTTCCCTATAATAAGGACTGTAGTACTTCGGGGTCCACATTGAATACCTTTTATGGAGTCCCTATAAGAATAAGGACTATAGTATTTTGGGGTCTACATTGGGGTCCCTCTATTTAGGGAAACTGTCTCTCTTTCTGTGCACCCCAGCAGCCGAGGCCGGTGTGCGATAGCGTTTACAACTGTTTGCAACAATGCCCCAAGGCACCCTAAACCGTAAACCCGAAACCCTAAACCCCAAACCCCAAACCCTAAACCCTAAACTCAAAACCCTAAACCCAACACCCTAAACCCTAAAACCCTAAACCCTAAACCCCAAAACCCCTAAACCCAGACCATCATCCTCGGGGAGCTTCTATAAAACCCCAAACAACCCCACCCAAAACCGAAACCGTGATGAAGATGATCTGGGTTGCTGTTAGTTAAGTTACCATAATGGGGTTTTGGGGTTTAGGGTTTAGGGTTACCATAATGGGTATATATAGGAAGTAATAGGGCTTCCCCAATGTAGTAACTAAATTTAAGTCCCTTAACAGCAACCCAGATGATGTCAGCTTGAAGTCTCGGACCGAGACAAGCATTTCATAAGGGATCCTCAAGCTAGGGTTTAGGGTTTAGGGTTTAAGGTTTAGGGTTTAGGATTTCGGGTTCTAGAGTAAGCCCGAAACCCTGGAGATTTAGGGACCACGGGTCTTGTTGAAAGTGTCTGACCCTACACCCTAAACCCCAAAACCGAACACTGAACCCTGTGTTCTACTGTAGAAATCCTAAACCTGCTCAGAGCCTAAGCTTAGAGACATTGACATTTAGGGTTTAGGGTTCCAAATTTCTTGCTGGAAACTAATATCGAAGTTCCATCAAGATGGGATCTTTTTTGTGATCCCTGTAAAAAGGGTTAGAGGATTTGATGGAATTTGAGGGTGACTTCTGCAATACAAGAACTCTGACAAAATTCTAGGCCCACCTGCGTGCGTTGTAGCGCAGCTGAGACAGCATCATCTGCGCTTCATCCACGCATCGTGCGCGGATGCTTTCGGTCCTTTGGAAAGGAGGTGGTAAACCCTAAACCCTAAACCCTAAACCGCAACCCTAAGCCCTAAGCCGGAACCCGAAACCTACACTCCGGGCGCGGCTTCAGGGGTTGGGTTTAGGGTTTAGGGTTAATGTCGGCCCATGATTAATAAACCCCCTCCTTTTAAGTGCATAAACATTGGGATCCCTAGTATAATCCTTATGAAGGGGAGGGGATTAATTAATCAGGGGTCTGAGTTAGGGGCGTGAGAAAGGGCTGTACGTTCAGAGCTTTCGGATTTGGGCGTGCTTGGGGTCGTAGGCTCGCAAGCTTTGCAGCCAAGCCCTGAACCCTGAGCCCTTGAACCTAACTCCCCCAAACCCAAAAGACTACGTACCACAAGGAACTCTGAATATCCCCACATATCCCAAAGTCCACGCCCTGAATTCCCAAAAACCCCTAAATCCCTCAACCCTAAACCCAGTCAAAACCCTCCCCCCTCCCTATCTTAAAGCTGCCGAAAAGGATAACCTCCCAAGAAAATCCCCCCAAACCCCAAACCCTAAAACCCCATATACCCCTAGAGCCCTGAAACCTAAACCCAGTCAGAACCCTACACCCTAAACCCTAAACCCCCAACCCTGCTCAGCGTCCCCAGGAGAAGACCAGATCCGCAGCTGCTGGCCAGGCAGGAGCTCACCTGAAAGCCCACTTTTTCCGGATTTAGGGTTTAGGGTTTAGGGATTCAGGGTTTAGGGATTTAGGGATTTAGGGTTTCGGGTTTAGGGATCAAATTTAGGGTACCTTATGGTACCTTTAGAGGGGGATATTGGGGTTCCATAAGGCTTGGGGTTGGGTTTCAGGCTTTAGGGTTTTAGGGGTTGTAGGGCTTTAGGCATTTTAGGGTCTGCCTCGCATCTCCCTATCCCTGTAGCCGCCTTGAAGCTCTAAACCTGACACTCTACACCCCCAAATCTCACATGAGCTATAGTCTAAACTCCTAGTATCCCCCTTAATAACCCCTATAGTAGTCCCCTGTATAACCCCCAATTTAAGGAGTTTAGACTATGGCTCACATATCCCTATAACTCCATATAATCACCTTCAAGCTCTAAACCTCCATCCCACAATTCTACACCGCAAGTCTTACCCAGAGGGTCCATGTACCCAATAATTAGGTACTTGGGTTTTGGGTAATAGTAATCTTAGTACAGGTTTGGGGTAAGTATATGATTAGTAGGTACTTGGACCCTTGGGGTTATATAACATCCCTATAACTCCAAGTAATCCACTTCAAGCTCCAAACGCTTATATGTGAATACACAATACATTCCTGTGGCCCCGTTGAAGCCCTAAACCCTAAAACGCCTTACCCCGGAACCGTAAAGCAAAAACCCATGGGTCTCCAAAAGAGGACCCTAAACCCTAAACCCTAAGCTGTTGAACAGCTTGGCCATACTCCAGGCACCTTGTCCAAAACAGCGTCAGGTGCATCCTTGAAGCAATCCACCACCTAAGTGCGAGCGGTTTAGGGTTTAGGGTTTAGGGTTAGGTATGTTCAAATCGAAAGAAGGATTGTATAAGGGTATACTGGGATATTAGGGGCGTATAGGAATCTAGGGCTTAGGGTTGAGAAAGCACCGTAAGCCTTTACTCCCCGAGCGGAGCCAATGATATAGTCAGTTTTTGGTAACACAACCTGGGGTTGTATAAAAACCCCGTATTGAATCCTTCATAAACTTCAACCTTATCGTTTTTTTTGTTCTACTCCTTATCGTTTTACTGTGTTTGGG